GCTGAGGTTTAAGGAAAGCCAAGGATCAGGACCCACTTAAGCTTTCCTTGGCCTTGTTAAGTCCAATCATCTGGGGCGGGGAAGAAGAGAAATGCTCATTGCAATCTTTGACCCCCCACTAACTGCTGTGGTGACTTTGAGCCAAGCCCTTGGCCTCCTTTTCCTTATCTGCAATGTTGCTGTGATTCGTGTGGTGAGGTTACAGAGGCAGCACTTGGGATAAGCGTGCAGAGATGCGTCCAGCCATATGAAAGTACAGGATGCTGTGTGTGCTTCCTGCTTCATAGCACATTTTGTTTCTTGGAAGGTGAGTGGCCCAGCTGCCTCCCCAAAAACACATATTTCTGCCTTTCTCAGCGTAATCAGCAAGATGTTCCCACTTCTCAGCATTGCACTTTTCCCTTGAGTCTGCTAGCTGCTGGTGCAGAATAAACACTTTGGGCCCCTCCCTGTCCTGAGACAAAGCCCTCTGTGGTCATCCAGCATATGGCAAAGCTGCTACTTCTGGGCTGGAATATTTGAGGCAACAGTGACTTCCTCCTTCCCCAGTTACCTGGACACTCAGAGCCGGCCAGTGAAACATACAAAGGGAGGGGAAGAGAAGAGGGAAGCCATATTTCAGTTTCAGTTTATTTCACAGAAATGTTTTGAAATCCTTTATCTCTAATGGAAGCACAAACGGGTGTGGGGGAGTCAAAAATAGGGGAAAAATTTAGTCTGTAAGCAAATCATTAGATGGCATCAGAATTTGAGCCAGAGTAAAAATGCTGGACCTTGGCCCTTATCAGACAGAGAAGTGCAGCAGATCTCAGGTTGGGGGATTCTATTTAAAACCTGTTCAGTTCTGAGGAAGAGGAGTATGGACAGGGCAGAGGAAAAAGGAAAAATGGGAAAATCCCCCATGGACTTAAGGCCCCAGCAAAAAGAAACCATGTGCTTTCTCCCTGCTTCCCCACTTCCCTTCTGACTTGGGCAAATGAGGCAGTTCGTGCTCCCTTTAGGGCTGGAGGCAGTCTGCAGGGGCCTGCTGGGCAGAGAGGAAGTCTTCTCAAAGGCAGCACTCACAATCCAAAAGCAAGAATAGCAGTGGGACTTCAGGAAGGACATGAAACAGGAAAAGGAAGCTCCACACCAACAGCTCCCTGATGAAGGGAGTCTGTGTGCCTAGGCTTTTCACGAAAGTGCTGCTGTCCTGAGTTGCACCCGTCTCCCCACCTAGGAACCCACCATGGACATTCTCAGCTGATATGGTGGCAGAGGATACCCTCCTTTCACTCAGGATGACAACCCGTGGGTGGGGTTTTCAACAAGTATAAAAAGCTCCTGGATAAACAAATCCCAAACAGGACTCTCACCCACAGTCCCAGTCCTCTCTCCTTCTTCAGACATCTGAAAAACAGAACCAATGGGTTTACAATATCTTGTTATTCAGCACTAATTCCAGGCTGTGGATGTAGGAAAAGCCACGTAAACAGGGAGGGGAGAACAGGTGAATGACCCCAATGGTTTGAGAGCAAAAGAGCAGAATAATTGCCTCTGATTAAGTAAACAGAGAGTAGTATTAATAGATCTGTTCCAGAAATACTACAAAATAGAAGAGTATGTGAGCACCAGACGCACGTGATAAAGACCATGCTCTGGAAGATTCATTCCAAGGAGTAGAAGCAATATTTGCTCAAGGCATTTAAGGAGAGCACGGACTCTGGAATGAGGGGAGAGAAAAGATAAGACATGCATAAACAGCTGGCAACACTAAGGAAAGGATTTAAGGAGAGGGATCTCTTTGTTAGAGAACTTAACATTACCCTAGAAACAGCAAGAGTATCATCAGCCCCAGGAAAATCTACCTCTGATGTGGAGACCAGGCTTAAGAAAATCCCCTAGAACCCAGAGAAAAAGTGCCAAACAAGGAAAATGACCAAAGAGAACATTGTAGATACAGAGATCAGACAATGAGAATCCAGAGTCTTGTTAAGTGATAAAAGGAAAATACTAACAGAACGTGTGTAACAGGAACACCATTTTAGAGGAAACAAGAAGAAAAGTTTCCTAAACTCAAAAGATACTACACCAGAAGTGGGAAGTACTCACTGTGTTCAGGGGAACAAAAAGATACAAACTGAAAAACAACATCAGAATGCTTTTCACGTGAAAAACAACATCAGAATGCTTTTCACGTGAAAAACATTTGTAAGGTAGGATAATTAGGCCACTTACTACAACACAAACTGTATGTCTATCTAAATTGATGTGCAAAAGCAGGGATATGCTTGGATTTACTGGAAAACCATACAGGTGTTTTTCAGGAATGCACAAAATGAATCAAAGTAAATAACATCAGGAAAATTGTGTAAGAAATCTGTGAGCTGGTTGTGAGGCAGTGGGTCCTATTATGTACAAATTTAATGCTAAGTTACTGTGTTATGGCTATCAATATGTTACCGATACATGGAAATGTGTGTAATATAAAAAATAAATAATTTGATTAACATGATAGCCCCCCAATTCTAGGTCATTCCATGAAAGTTAGATAATAGGGAGTATGGGGAAGAAGAATAAAAATGTGCTGATTATGTGAGGGGATGAGTAGCATGATTTAGTTTTTGAAGATGGTAAGAGTCTTCGTGAAATTTTACTACTTTAAGGGACATACCAAAGCAACAGATTCTGCTGAATATGGAAGAATGGGAAAGAATGTCAGGGAACTACAGTCAAAGGTAAGAAATCATCATAATATTAACATCAAAATTGAATGTCAAATGCATTAGAATTATTTAATTGACTAGATTATCTACAATGATCATAATTACCAACTTCAGATTATATATAGCATGATCTGCAAATGTAGGATGAAATTAACAAAATAGATTGAGGAGTGCAAACACACTTCCTTTGGTCCTCGACAGATAAAATGTCAGCTTTTTTTTTTTTTTTAATTGAGACGGAATCTCACTCTGTTACCCAGGCTGGAGTGCAGTGGCGCGATCTCAGCTCACTGCAACCTTTGTCTCCCAGGTTCAAGCGATTCTCCTGCTTCAGCCTCCCAAGTAGCTGAGACCACAGGCACATGCCACCACACCCGGCTAATTTTTTTGTATTTTTAGTAGAGATGGGGTTTCACTGTGTTAGCCAGGATAGTCTCGATCTCCTGACCTCATGATCCGCCTGCCTCAGCTTCCCAAAGTGCTGGGATTACAGGCGTGAGCCACTGCACCCAGCCAAAATGTCAGCTTCTAAGTATGCATATCTGGATCTAAAGAGGATAAAAATGAAGATGATGATGAAAACAATTAACATTTGGGGGATATTTACTGTGTGGCAGGCAGTATTATAAGTTCTTTTCATATATTAACATATGTAGTCCTTAGGACAACCTTATGTTATAGGGATACTATTGTCTCTATACTCCAAATAGACCCAGCACAAAGGCCAAAAATATAATTGATATACTTTGCATAACAGATAAATATTGTACTCTGGAACTTCAGAGAATATACCTTTAAGGGCTCAGGAAGCATTTACCAAATTAGTCATATATTGGACCTTATCAAACCTCAGTAAATCCTCTCAAATCTTCTAGTCCCCCTCAGAAATCATAGATCACATTGTTCTAGACTACCTCATGTAGTAAAACTAAAAATATATGACAGGGATAGAAACTCTGAAATGGTCTTGTTTATGTGTTTTCTTACTGTTTGAATCTTGTACAATATGTATGTATTCTATGGTCATAAAATGACAGTTAAAAAGTAAAAAACGTTTTTTTTCTTATATGTATACAGAAACTAACCCTAATAAATCAAAAAGCAAAACAAAAAAGGATTCTTGGGTGGGCAAGGATCCATCCCAGGAGGAATACTGGGGTAATCTGTGGAGTTGAGGAAAGATCTCTTCTCCAGCCCGAAATGAACAAAATCAGAGCAGAGCCTGCCTGCCTGAGTCTGAGCCATGTGCTCACATGGATCCCCCTGTGCTGATTGGAATATGCAGTCTGACTGGTCAGGCCTGGATCCTCTGCCCTCACTGTGGCCAGGGGAATGGAGAGCTGTGCTTGGCAATCTCACCAGATCAAGATTTGGGGAAGCAGCAGTTCTCTAAGGGAGGTGGCAGTATATAGCACAAACACCTGATGTCCACCACAGAGGAAAAAGCAAGGCCAGGTATACTACCTACCCCTTTGTTCCAATAGGCATGTGTGATTCCTTAATTCTTTGGTGTATGAACTACAGGTCTACTATCTTCAACCATAAGATTTGCTCCATGGTACTATGCAGTCTCCACGAGGATCATAATATTCCAAAAAGATGTGTCACCTGCATTTCAATCACCTCCTCTTTAGTTTCTTACCCTCCAAACCAACGAGAGCTAAGAAAGCCATTTTGATCTCAGGCTACTGGTGATGTATTTCCCACTCTTCTTTCCCCTGGTTACTACCCGTCACCCTCCCATTGCTCCACCCCTCCACATGGTACCTCATTAACTCTGAGTCTCAGTTTCAGTGTCACTTCCTAAGGGAAGCATTCTTTATACCCTGACCTTCCAGACCAGATTAATTTCACCTTTTCTTCAAATCACTTATGGCCATTTCAAATCATTCATTCGTATGTGACTTTTTGATTAGTGTTTTTGTCCTCATATACTCATCAATGTTCTTGGATAGAAACAATAGAAATCATTGGGTGTGGTGGCTCACGCCTGTAATCCTAGCACTTTGAGAGGCCAAGATGGCTGGATCACTTGAGGTCCGGAGTTTGAGACCAGCCTGGCCAACATGGCAAAACCCCATCTCTACTAAAAATACAAAAATTAGCCAAGCGTGGTGGCGTGCACCTGTAATCCCAGCTACTCAGGAGGCTGAGGCAGGAGAATCGCTTGAACCTGAGAAGTGGAGGTTGCCATGAGCCAAGATTGCACCACAGCCCTCCAGCCTGGGCGACAGAGCAAGACTCTGTCTCCAAAAAAAAGAAAAGAAAAGAAAAGAAAGAAACAATAGAAATGGATTATGGTATATTTATGACAAAATTTATTAGGAAGCTCACAGTTTTAATGGGAGGCTGGAGAACAAGGATGAGACAGGGATGAGGGTTGGTGAGGCACAGCCAGCATCTTTCTAGGGATAGTGGGCTTAGGATGCTGCCACCTGAGCCTTCAAAACTGGGTCTTTACCGTTGTGCTACTGGAACCACCACCACTGGCACTCATTACTGGCCTACTGAACCCTTAACTCTGACCATATACCTTGTGTCACTTCTCCAAAGTCAGTATTCTGAGCAGGAGCATTTCACTGGCTGTGCTGTGCTTTGGTCATAAGCCTCCTTTCAGTTACCCAAGGGCCAGAGAGGGAATATCTGCCCACTCTTAGTTTCACAGCAGAAGAGGGACTTTGCTTATTAGTATTCTTTTCAGTGGCCCAGAATTGGAAACCACCAAAATGTCTCTCAATAGGTGAATTTCCCTGACAAGAAGTCCTTTGTGCTAAGTCCCAAATGGCTCCAGCTGGTTGCTCTCTGCCGGTGGAACCTCCTTCTCCTTCCCCCATAGTATATTTGTCTAAATCAGTGGTTCTCAACCTTGGCTCTGCATTCAAAGCATCTGGAAAATCTGATGGGGATTAAGTGGACTGGTTTAAAATTACCTGGCAGATGGCAGATGGTGGTTTGTAGTCTTCTTCCTGCTTAAAAAGGAAGACCAGACCCTTACCTCTCTCTCCCTCTCCTTGACCAAAGGGATTCTGTCTGTGAAAGAATTTTGTGAAATGCAAAGTTTTATTCAAATGTAAATGATAACCTTTACCTTTACTTCATGAGATGCCAAAGATCTTTTTATTTTTAACTTTTTACTATGGAAACATGAAACTATATAAAAGTAAAAGTAAGCAGAATAACGTAAGTCCTTAATAGCCCCATCATCACCCAGCTTCGAAAATTATCAAATCATGGCCAATTTTATTTTATTTATAACTTCAGCCTCTGCTCCCTCATTGACTTATTTTTATCACGTCATTCACAAATGTTTTAGTATGTATCTCTAATAGATAAAGAACCCTAACAAAACAGCCACCATACTATTAGCACCTCAAACAATGATCAATAAATTTGTTTGGACAAATTAGGATTCAAATAAACCAACTGCTTCAATTGGTATGTTTCCTCAGTCTCTTAATGTATAGATTCTGCCACCATGTCTTTTTTCCCTTTGTAATTTATTTATTAAAGAAATCAGGTCATTTTTCCTTTAAATTTTTGTTCATTATATATTTCACTGTTTGTATTCTCCTGATTTAAAACAAATCTATTTTTTAGAAGTTTTACATCTACAGAAAATCTATAAAAATAGTACAGAGAGTTCCCATATACTCTACCTACTTTACCCTATAATTAACATCTACATTATTATAAAACATTTCTTATAATAATAGATCAATTTTGATACATTATCATCAACCAAAATCTATGCTTTATTCAGATTTCCTTAGTTTTTCTCTAATGTCCTTTTTCTTCTCTAGGATACCACATTCCATTTAGTCATGTTATGTCTTCTTAGGCTCATCTTTGTTGTGAGAATTTCTCAGACTTTCATTATGCTTCATGATTGTTATAGACTGAATATTTTTGTTCTCAAATTCTTACGTTGAAATCCTAACTCCAATTGTATTGGTATTTGGAAGTAGGGCATTTGTAAAGTTATTAGGTCATGAGGTCAGAGCTCTCATGACTGAAATGAGTGACTTCATAAAAGAGACCCTAGAGAGCTCCCTCACCCCTTCTCACACGGAGGTTTCAGCACAAGATTATCTTCTATGAACCCAGAAGTGGACCCTCAGTAGGCACCAAATCTGCCAGTACCTGGATCTTGTACTTCTCAGGCTCCGGAACTGGGAGAAACCAAGTATTTATTGTTTCTCAGCCGCCCAATCTGTGGTATTTTGTTCCAGCAGCTGTAATGGACTAAGATAATAACAATTTTGAGGCTTACTGGTCAGGTATTGTGTAGAATGTCCCTTCACTGGGATTTGCCTGGTGCTTTTCTCATGGTTAGAGAGGGATTATGTCTTTTTGGAGGAAAACCACACACAAAAGTACCATTTTCATTACTTCATATTAAGGGTACATTCTACCAATATGACTTGTCAATGATGATTTTAACCTTGATCATGTGTTCAAGGTAGTGTTTGTCAGGTTTCTCCACAAAGTTACAAAGTTACTCCTTCTCCTGTTTTCATACTGCACTCTTTGGAAGGAAGTCATTATTCACAACCCACAAGGAGTGGGGAGTTATGCTCCACCTCCTTGAGGGCAGAGTAGCTACATGAATTATTTCCAGTTCTTTTGCACAGGATGTTTTTCTCTTCTCCTCCATTTATTTACTAACAAATATTCATTATTTATTTGTATTATCAGTATGGGCCTGTAGATATTTATTTGATACTTCAAGTTATAATCCAATACTACTTATTTTGTTGCTCAAATTCTTTCAGCTTTGGCCACTAGAAACATTTTCAGTTGGTCCCTGTGTCCCTGTTTCTTTGACACACCTCCATCGATATAGATTTTTGTCCTTTTTTATTTGGTGAACTTCCTTAATTTCTGGCATCACAAGATGCTTTAGGCTTATTATATATCCATGTTGCATATTTCCAATGTTAGAATCAGCCATTTCTCCAAAGGGCTTTGATTCCTTTTATGGAAAATGGTGTTAGAAACCAAAATGTGGCAGTTGCTGTGTTTGTTGCTATTGGAATATCATTGCTTCTAAGTCCACTCAGCTGACAGAGGAAGGAAATATGTGTGCACACTAACCTTTGTATGTACACATATGTGTGTGCATGTGTGTGTGTGTATATATATATATAGCCATATCTACATCAAGCTAAAAATGAATTCATACTGATGTTTCAAACTCTAATCTATTACTACATAGATCATTTTAGTCTCTTCCTAATATTTTAAATAGGTATTTGTTTGAATTTCTTATAAATTGTTAGATTAAGATGATAGTTCAATATTTTGGCAGAAATAATCCAAAGGAGGTAGTGTGCTCTTTCATCACAATGTGTATAACAACTGTCTATTCATGATGTTAGCAACCAATGATAATCATTCCCTAGATTCCATTAGTTCTCTAAAGTTTAACAAATGTTAAAATTTTGATTGGCTCTGTCCTTCCTCTTTGACTACCTGGAATACTTTGTGAGATAAATTTCCTCTCATTCCCTAGATTCCATTAATTCTTTAAAGTTTAACAAATGTTAAATTTTTGATTGCTTCTGTCCTTCGTCTTTGATTACCTGGAATACTTTGTGAGAAAAATTTCCTCTCAGTAACTATGTGGTGGCCCTGAGGAAGAGCTCACATAAAAAAGGCAGGATAAATGCTTAGTTCTTTTCATTATTATTTTTAAAATAATAGATTGGTTTTCTAGAATCCTCCCAGGCTGACCACAGAGTTATTTTTGGCTCCAGGTACCATTATGAACTTGGAGCAGCTCTTTAGGTACATGGCTCAGCCCTCTACCTGCAGCCTTGAGTCCTGGGCATTCTGCCTTAGGATAGTGGAATGGGGGATGGTTGGTGGGGGTGGGGAGGTGGGGCAGAGGCAAAGAAGGATTTGAAAGGGATGGCAAGCTTGGGGGCTCTAAAGGATTTCCATATTCATCATATTCATCTAGAAAAAGCTCTGATCTCCAAAATCGTTAAAACTCGTATAGCTGTTGCCTTGGTTTTACAGTTTTTCAAGTTGCCTTCGAAATCTTTGAAGTACATCTTTAAAAGTCCATCTTTAAAGTCTCCTCAAGTAACCAGGAAAGAAAGAACAGCCTGAAGATCTGGAAAGGGCATGTTTGATCCTAAATCATTAAAGGTAGCCTATCTAGGAGAAAAACCAAGTCGCCTTTGGAATGCTAGTGGAAGGGGGAAGGCCCTGGTCCTCCACCCTGGTTATTAGTTACCTAAAATACATTTTAAAAACCACATATGACCCCCTGCATGACCCCCATACATTCTGATTCAATTGGTCTGTGGTAGGAAAAAGTGGCAGCTTTTAAAAATTTTTATAAGCTTTTCGCGAGGTGACTCTAATGTTAAAGCAGGGCTATTTCCAAACCCCCTAGAACTCCAGCAGGCTAATGACAATTGTGTCATACCTACAGACTCATCACCTTAATGCAGTTGCTTCATGTTATTAGATAATATCTCTGCCCTGCAACTCAGAAGACTAAGCTAGGAAAGATGATGTCATACAGTCTCATCCCTCCTTCGAACACTGGAGCCTGATGAGTGCAGCTCATTTCTAACACTTGGGTCTTTATTTATTATTATTATTTTTTGTAGAGATGGGGTCTCGCTATGTTGCCCAGACTGGTCTCGAATTCATGACCTCGAATGATCCTCTCACCTCGCCTCTCACAGTGCTGGAAATATAGGTATGAGCCACTGTACCCAGCCCTGGGTCCTCAACGTAAGATATAGCACTGTGCCCCAGCCCTCAACTCCAAGAATGGCTACATTTACCTTCTGCCTGGCAGTGTTCTAAGTGCTTTACATATTTCAGCATCCCTAATAGGTTGGTATCATCTCCACTTAACAGATGGGCTGCTGGGATCTGAGGGAGTTAAGTGACTTGTTAAGGGCACAAGCCTGTTTCTGGGTGGGTCCGGACTCTTTCCCACCACATGCTGTCACTTACAGGCTGTGACTGACTTTATGCCCAGCCCCCCTCAAGGAGCTGCCTCCTGCTTTCTATTGCATAATCAATATTGACACCTGGTGTAGGGGCGCTCTACAGGTTGGGGAAGGCCTGGCCTGGAGTGAGGGATCCTAAATCCCTGCTCCTCAACATCAGGCCCTGAGTAGGCCTCTGCCCTAATGGTAGGGTAACCCACCCTCCTTCACAGCTCAGAGGTGTCAGGGTGTGTGAGGGAAAGACTAGAAAGCCTAGAAAGCTTCTTCTACCTCTCACCCCTCCTCACTCCCAGTCCTGGGCCACAGGATTTCACTCACAGCTCCTTCCACCCCCACACTTCCCCTGAAAATCTCACTGCCCTGTGACTTCTCCATGTGCCACTTCCTGTGCGTCAGACCCCCACGATCAGCTGCCCACTGCCTATGGTCACCCCAATTCCTGACTAGAACTACACTTACCACTGCTCACCCTTCTCCTACTCTCCCCTTCTCAGAAAATGACACCACATCCAGGAAACTCTGAACCACCACTAGCCCAGCGCTCCCTCTTCCCCATTCACTCAGTCACCAAGTCCCCTCAGTTTCACCACTCAAGATAGTTGTTAGACCATGGCGCCTCTCCATCCCCATTTCCCTAGGATGGGCCTTGGTGTCTGAGGCCAACCCTGCCTCATTTCCTCCTAAAGCCCACCCAGGCCTTGTGCTTTGTGTACCACCACACCCAACCAAATGTACTTATTGCTTCTTTGGCTCCCAGCACTCAACTGAGAGCCCCAGCTCTTCCTCACCTGCTGGGACACTTCAGCTGACTCCAGATTGTGACGTAGGCGTTTATGTACCAGCCTTGCTCCAGGTTCAGGGCGCTGCCATACCTTCAGCCCCGCCCCGCCGCAAGCCTCATTTCCTCCGAACCCAACCCAGGCCTTGTGCTTTGTGTACCACGAAACCCAACCAAAGCTACTTTCCTGACTTGCTCTTTCGGCTCCCAGGAATCTTTATGTACTGACCTTGCTCCAGGTTCAGGGCGCGGCCACACCCCCAGCCCCGCCCCACCGCAGGCCCAACCCAGAGGCTGCTTTCGGTTTCCCTAGCGTTCCTGGGCCCTGGACTTTAACCAGGTCTGCAAGTCCCGCCCTGATTAGCTGCCTCCCGCACCAGTCCCGGCGCCGGGTCCTAAGGCGCCTAGGTTCCTCCCCTTATTCCTGCAGGGATTGGGCCTTGCGGCACCGCCCAGGCTCGGATTGGTCCGAGGGGAGACCCGCCCCTCTGCCCACTTGGGTCTTCCGGACAGCAGAGGAGCAGTGTCCGGCCATGGCCGGGGCCCGCAGGCTGGAGCTGGGCGAGGCCCTGGCGCTGGGGTCGGGCTGGCGTCATGCGTGCCATGCTCTCCTCTACGCGCCGGACCCTGGCATGCTCTTCGGCCGCATCCCGCTGCGCTACGCCGTACTGGTGAGAAGGGGGCGCGCCCGGCCACTTTCTGCCTGAGCCCCGCACCCTCTCTGGGGGTCTCTTCTGGGGCTCCCCTGCCAATCCCTGCCTCCCCCTCTCGCAGATGCAGATGCGCTTCGATGGACGCCTGGGCTTCCCCGGCGGATTCGTGGACACGCAGGACAGCAGCCTAGAGGACGGGCTGAACCGCGAGCTGCGCGAGGAGCTCGGCGAGGCGGCGGCCGCTTTCCGCGTGGAGCGCACTGACTACCGCAGCTCCCACGCCGGGTCAGGGCCACGCGTTGTGGCCCACTTCTATGCCAAGCGTCTGACGCTCGAGCAGCTGTTGGCTGTGGAGGCCGGCGCAACACGCGCCAAGGACCACGGGCTGGAGGTGGGGCCAGCCTGGGACTCTGTCCCTTTCCCAATTTCCTCTTCTCTACCCCAAGAAAGCATTCCTGGAGAAAAGTCTGCCCCTCTGACCTTGCCCTCTCCCCAGTTTTCTTGGTGGAGTTGAGATCGTGGTCATCTCTACTTTGAATTAGTACTGCCAACCTGGGCTTTGTGTAAAGGTCTTTCCCACCCTTTACCAGGAGAGATCCTTTCTAGAACACACTCATCTGTGTCTCTCTGCTGTTCCCTGTTGACAGTGTGATAGATGATCACATTATCTAGGTGTGGCAACCTAGGTTTTATTCTTGGGGTTTGCTTTTCTTGTGTAGGACATGTGGCCCTGATATTTCAGGCAGGGCTAGTAGATAGATTATGTATGAAAGTGGTTCTGAAAATTTGGCAGGTAGCAGAATCATCTGGGCGTCTTATTAAAATAGCGATTTCTCTCAGCATTCCTGCATTGGTGGCGGGGCGGGGGGAGAGGAAACCTGACAATTTGCAATTTTCAAAAGTTCCCAAATAATACTGATGCAGATAATCCGAGGACCACATTTTGACAACCACTGGTGAAAGGGTATGAATACATCTTCGAGACAGGAGCCATTAGAGGTTTAGAAGCAGATGTGGGAAAGATTAACTGATAGAGCTAGATAACATGTTTTGGGTCATTTTCCTGCAGAAGGTTGAGCCAATAGGCTTTAGTGAGGTGTGAACCTTGGGCCTGTTTCTGCTGGAGTATTAAGGGGTGAGGCCTCTGCTCTAGAAATATCTTCTGGAGAGAGGATGGAGTTAAGGGAATGAGCCATCTGGGGCCCCAGTGTCTCCTGTCTCCTTCCTTTTACAGGTGCTGGGCCTGGTGCGAGTGCCCCTGTATACCCTGCGGGATGGTGTGGGAGGCCTGCCTACCTTCCTGGAGAATTCCTTTATTGGCTCTGCCCGGGAGCAGTTACTTGAAGCTCTCCAAGACTTGGGACTGCTGCAGTCTGGCTCTATTTCAGGCCTTAAGATTCCGGCTCATCACTAGAGGCAGCCCTCCATGGACCCATGGAAACTGAGATGAGGACCTTGGTACTAGGGAGGGAGGGAAGGATGTGGGAATGTTTTCTTATTGGACCTGAGAGATGACACATGATACCAGATTAAAAGAAGGAGAAGTGTGTACCATATGTTTTGAGCAGAGGCCCCTCCAACTCATGGCATCAGGGGCAAAGATTCACAGCTCATCCCAGGCACCCTGGCAGGTTCTCAGAGCCTGCCTCCTCCCTGTTTATATGCATACAGCCTAGTAACCCCCAGGCATGCAAATATACAATCTGTAACAACACACAGCCTGACACCTTCCCCTGGTCATGTCCAGTGTAACCAAGTGGCATTTGTCACCATTCCCTGGTCCCTGATTGCAAGGAACTTCTGAAGCAAGGGTGAGTCCTTCCCACACTCCTCCATGGCTGCCCTCCAGGGTCTAGCCCAGCCTATTTGTTAGGGAGGATAGAGAAGCAGAGGACCCCCTGTGCTTCCTGAAAATAGACTTGCTCTTGTCTTGAGTGGTGACCAAGGCAGTTGGCTCTTAAAAGGTGGGAGAACAGCCCAACCAATCCCCAGTCCTTTTCTTCTGAAACTGACCAGGAGGGGTAAGGAAGTGGCTAGGTCTCCTTGGACGGAGCATGGACGTGAGACCTGTGAGTACTGGTGTGTCTCCTCCAGAGCTTCCATCTTTGGGATGCCTGAGACTCTGAGACTATCAGAAGGGAATTGACCCACCCCAATCTAACGCTGCCCTGCCTTCACTTCATGTACATAAAGGTGGTATAAAAACATAGACTGGAGGAGGTAATCCATGGAAAGACAAAAAGAAGAGGACTCAGGACAAGGCCCTGAGGAAGCCCAATCCTAAGAGTTTGGGCAGAGGGAACCAGGAACGTTAAAGACAGTAAGTGGACTATGTGGAGTGCTTGTGAGGATTTCACTACGTCCATTGAATTCAGTAACATGAAGTGTTTGATGACTATGATGGCAGCAATTTCAGGAAGGGTGGTGTGGAAGGCAGGCTGGATTGGTTGAGTGAATGGAAAGTGGGGGAATAGAGCATGTGAGAGGTTGGCCCTAAAGGGGCTCAGGTTAATAACTAGAGTGCTGTGGAGTCAAGGCATGTTTGAGATGGGAGGTAGGGCATGCCAATGCTGATGGCAACAGTCAAGATGGTGTGATGAGAGAGGTGGGAGGGGCATGAAGAGGAGGACCCCTGAATGAGCAGAGTTCATGAGAAAGGAGGAGGGATGGGACCTTTGTAGGAAGAGACACAGCCCTGCAGCCTCACAGAGCTCAATAAAACAGAAAAGGACAAGTATAGAAGATTAGGATGACTAAAGTAATGGGGAAATGATGAAGGAGTTTGAATCTCTTCTTTGTGAAATGAAGTAAGACTATCAGCTAGATGTGGGTGGAGCACGTTCTCAGAAGGTATGAAGTAGATATTTTCCTAGGTGTTGAAATCAGGTTGATTAAGGAAACAGCAGAAGGGCAGGGCAAGGCTGAGCTCTGAGATGGTCAGTTTAGAGTAGGATGCTGGGCACTCAGGTGTGTGTGTGTTAACTGGAGATTTGCATGCACCTGTCTTCCCCCCATTAGGATTCAGGAGCTGGGATGGAGATGCTTACTGCAGTGTTGGGGTTTTGCCAGGGGAGTATAGGAGGTGAGAGAAAGATGGGGCAATTCAGATGATATGCACAGGAGAAACTGTAGTGATGAAATGTGTGGTCTGAGGATTAATCTGACCAAGATGGAAACTGAAAACTGGAAGTAACTAGGAAGGGATTAGGAAATTAGAGGTCTTGACAAGATAGAAACTCCAGTATGATGAGGGGTTGGGCAAGGAGGTATATTTGAGCCAGACAGGAGTGTTTTGGAAATTGAGAGGAGGAGCAATCTCAGGTAAAGGCAAAATAGAGGGTATGACCTGGGGTTGCTGGGCAGAGCCAGGGGAGGAGCTTTAAGAAGTGAGATCTAGGGTTGGTGAGGCTGGAGGGCAGGGTGAGCCTCCACGTGGGTGCTGGAGCAAGAAACCAACAGATGTTGAGGAGGATGGTGTGACCTAGGAGTCAGCATCCTTGGTGAACATGAGGAGCGGCCACAAGGCCAGTGGCACCTGCCAGAGGGGAAAGCAGGCATGACAGGATAGCATCTCCCAGGTGAGAGCCTTTTGAGGAAGGGAGGGTGGGCAGTGGTCTGGAAGCTCAATGCAGAGCAATGTGGTTCCCACTCTCAGCCCTTGGTCTTAGAAGAATGGGAGTATCCAGTGGGGGAACAGCTGTACAAATGAGATAGACCCCTAGAGGTTAATCGTCATCTCCTAATCTCACCCTGACCCTTTTGTCAAATGTTATCTAGATTAAACCTCAGTATAGGCAGGCTGAAGGAAATGGACATTCCAGTGGCTCCTGGGGTCCCAGCCTGTAGCAGCTTCATCTGCGCTTTGTGCACTTGCTCTCAGTCATCTCTGCAAGGGACCCTGAAGCCTGGGAGGTCAGAGTCACTGACCCTTGATGGCACTGCTGACACACCCCTTCCCTCAGGTAATTCTGGATGCATAACTCATTATGGGATGTAATCCAGGTCAACATTAATACCACCTGGAAGGTTCCGCCCTCAGCCTCACTCTGCTTGAGTATCCCAGTGATCAGTCTCTCAGGACCTGCCTACTGGGCAGCTCATCTCTCCACTTATTTGCATTAAATTGGCTTTTTATTTAGGTCTCTGGAGATGGTTACATGGGGAGGAGCCCATGACTTTCCTATATGATCCCTTGAATACTCTCCAAGTCAGTAGATTACTTCTCAGGCAGCCTTCATAAAAGTGTTTCAGTTTCACTGTACTGGGGTTTGTGTTCATCTCACTCACATAGACAGTCTCTGGGTAGGCAGACGGGGGGTGATACAAGCTCACACTCTGCATTTCTCCTCCTCTTAGCCATTCCCACCCTGCTGAGGTTTAAGGAAAGCCGGGGATGATGACCCACTTAAGCTTTCCTTGGCCTTGTTAAGTCCAATCATCTGGGGCAGGAAGAAGAAGAAGAGAAATGCTCATTGCAATCTTTGACCCCCACTAACTGCTGTGGTGACTTTGACCCAAGCCCTTGACCTCCTTTTCCTTCTCTGAAATGTTGCTGTGATTCCTGTGGTGAGATTAGGTGAGGCAGCACTTGGGATAAGCGTGCAGAGAGGCATTGAGTGGTATGAAAGTACAGGATGCCATGTACTTTCTGCTTCACAGCACATTTTGTTTCTTGCAAGGTGAGTGGCCCGGCCGCCTCCCCACAAACACCTGTTTCTGCCTTTCTCCGCATAATCAGCAAGCTGTTCCCACTTCTCAGCATTGCACTTTTCTGCTGGTGCAGAATAAAACCACTTTGAGCTCCTCCCTGTCCTGAGACAAAGTCCTCTGTGGTCACCCAGCATATGGCAAAGCTGCTGCTTTGGGCTGGAACATTTGAGGCAACAGTGACTTCCTCCTTTCCTAGTTACCTGAACCCTTAGAGCCGGGAGCCGGCCAGTGAAACAGACAAGGGGAGGGGAAGAGAAGAGGGAAGGCATGTTTCCTTTATGAGTTTCAGTTTATTGCACAGAAATGTTTTTGAAACCTTTGTCACCAATGGACTCATGAATGGGTGTCAGAGAGTCAAAAATAGAGGAAAAAATGTAGTCTGTAAACAAATCACTGGATGGCATTAGAATTTGAGCCAAAGTAAAAGATGCTGGAGCTTGGCCCTTATCAGAGAAGTATAGAAGAGCCAGGTAGGGGATTTTATTTACAACATGTTCAATTCTGAGGAATATGGACAGGGCAGAGGAAAAAGGAAAAATGGGAAACCCCCATGGACTTAAGGCCCCACAAAGAGAAACCACGTGCCTTCTCCCCTCTTCCCTTCCGGCTTGGGCAAATGAGGCAGTTCATGCTCCCTTTAGGGGCGGAGGCAGTCTACAGGGGCCAGCTGGGCACAGATGAAATCTTGCAAAGGAACCTTTCTTACACTCGAAAAGCAAGAATAGCAAAGGGACTTTGGGAAGGACATCAAACAAGAAAAGGAAGCTCCACACCAACGGTTCCCAGATGGAGGGAGTTTGTGTGTCTAGCGTTTTCACCAACGTGCTGCTCATCCTGATGCACAGATGCAAACTGGAGCTGCTGCCTGTGCCCTCACCATGGGCATGTACCCACCACAGGCATTCCCAGGTGACGCAGGGGCGGAGGATTCCCTCTTTCCACTCAGGATAACAACCCCTGGATGGGGTTTTCAACAAGTATAGAAAGCTCCTGGATGTAGCCAAGACTCTCACCCACAGTCCCAGTCCTCCCACCTTCTTCAGGTCTCTAGAAGACAGAACAGATGAGTTTACAACATCCTGTTATCCTCACTAGTCCTAGGCTGTGGATGTAGGGAAAGGCCAGGTAAACAAGGAAGGGAGAACAGTTGAATGACGCCAATTGTTTGAAACCAAAATTGCAGAACTGCCCACAATTAACTTAAGTAAACACCAAGGAACATAGGTCTGTTCCAGAAATACTACAAAATAGAAGAGTATGTGAGCACCAGATGCACGTGATGAAGACCATGCTCTGAAAGATTCATTCCAAGGAGTAGAAGCAGTATTTGCTCAGGGCATTTAACGAGAGCACGGACTCTGGAATGAGGGGAGAGAAAAGATAGGACATGCAGGAACAGCTGGCAACACCAAGGAAAGGATTTAAGGAGAGAGATCTCTGTATTGAAGAATTTAACATTACCCTAGAAACAGCAAGAGTATCATCAGCCCCAGGAAAATCTACCTCTGATGTGGAGACCAGGCTTAAGAAAATCCCCTAGAACCCAGAGAAAAAGTGCAAAACAAGGAAAATGGCCAAAGAGAACATCCTAGATATAGAGATCAGACAATGAGAATCCAGAGTCTTGTTAAGTGATAAAAGGAAAATACTAACAGAACGTGTGTAACAGGAACACCATTTTAGAGGAAACAAGAAGAAAAGTTTCCTAAACTCGAAAAGTACTACACCAGAAGTGGGCAGTACTCACTATGTTCAGGGGAACAAAAAGATAAAAACTGAAAAGCATCAGAATATTTTTTGTGTGAAGGAAATTTGTAAGGTAGGAGAATTAGGTCATTTATTACAGCACAAACTGCATGTCTATCTAAATAGACATTTAAGTGCAAAAACATGGATATTACTCGTAGTTTTACTGGAAAACCATACAGATGT